GCACCTCTGGCTGAACAAGGTGTAACTGAGCCCTGAGAATTTGCCCGATACATTGTTATAGCTCTATTAGAGCCATCAAAGACAAGCAGGCAAACAACGTGCATTTTGAAAATGTTCAGTTCTCACAGTTCTCACACCCTTCCATGCAGGATTTTAGTCTTTTCCCCCCACCTCTAAGTTGTTGTTTGTTTTTAATAACATGAAAAATACTCCAAAATATAAACTAGAGAAAATACACATGGTAAAAACTACATTAAAATAAAGTTGAGAGTGTATGTTACTGTAAGTTAAGACTAGGAAATAAAATGTATTTTACTTTCAAGATAAGCCTGAAATATAAGAAATCCCATTGTGTTTAGTTATTTCAGCCAAAACAGTCCTCTCTCAGGACTTGAAGCAGTGGATGCTGTGGCATGCAGTAACGTAAGTTAAAATATCTGAGCACAATAAGGTTAGTTAAGGCTGGTGTTTCAAACTTAAGCCTGAGCGTCCTGGTGTCAAGTGCTTACGTCTGACCTTTAACTTGAGTGTTTCATGCAAGTTTAGATAGCAAAAATAGTGTATGAATACAGTGAATATAGTTTGTTTCTTGTATTAATAGGGATGACTGCATCACTCATATAGGAATTTGTGATTCCATAATATGCGCTAGTGAATTAAAAGCAAGAGTTTTTCTTGCTAGATGTATAGGTCATCTTCAAAAATTACACAATTTCTTCCTATATTTTGTAGTGGGTAGATGTGTTGGAGAGAGGAGGCTGTTATAATGAACTGAATAAAACACTACAACTAGAGTTTAAGTATAAAATGAGATCCTCTGTGTTTTGGGTTTGATGTTCTTAATTTAATCCCTAGTGGACAGTAGTCTGCATTACAAAACCTTCACACATAATTTGGCACGGTTTGGATGATTTGCAATCTCTCTCACTCCCTTCAAGAGATCCCCTGAGCAGACCTTGCATGGAGACTGAATGACTTTTCATCTCTCAAGAGGGTGGTCCCTTCAGGTCAGTGTTCAGGTCATTTCTGTAGCGCGGTAAGGAAGCTTTGACTGTTTCTGCTTGTGTGGGTAAACAGAGGGCTTCAATTTCCAGTGTTTCTGGTCCTGAACCCTCAGGAATTAAAATTACTGAATAGTCACAAAAGGAGGGAAGAAAGAATAAAATAAAGTGAGGATTGACAAATGTAAAGAATTTTACTTATCTGTAACACGTTTCTAAGGATGTTTGATTATGGTAATCAGGCTACATCACGAACAAAAGGACTTTATGGCATGCACTCTATAAACTGCTCTGACTGAAGTACAATGAACATTTTGAACAATATATGTTTTAAATGGGCTATGTTAGAAATATGGTGGAGCTATGCTGAGAATATGGAATTCAACTTGATGAGATAGGATGGGGCAACGGTGGCTAATGATGGAGTGTGTATCTAGTGAAGATAAAGTTCCTATCTTTTGTAAAATGTGCACAATACTCCATCCTTAAAACTCTCCCCTACTTGCTGCTATCAAATCCCCCATCACTTTAATCTACTCATTGTTTTAAATTATCTCTGCCAGTGCAGTGCTGAATTAGTCCTTTGGAATCCCTGAATGGGACCAAGGGAAGAGGAGATGGGAACAAGAAGGTGGGAAGGGAAGGAAAGCGAATGAGAAGTAGACGAAGGAGAAAAGAGGAGGTGGGTATCTTTCATGTAAATACCCTTTTGCTTCCTGTTTGATTCTACATGCTTTACAAAACATGCCATGCTAGCAAAGAGAACACTTCCTACATTCTCCCTGCTTGTGGTATATCAGACATGGAGCTGGGGGGGAGGGGGGAGGTGAGATGAAGGAAAGAAATTGTTTATCAAATATTATTCAACCCCATCTAGTCAGATTCTTAAATATTTACAATTGTTTTGATAAAATCAGCCTCTTAAAGGCCCTGATTCAGTGAGTTTGTTAAGCACATGCCTAAAGTAAAGCACACGAATAGTCCCATAGAAATGAATTGGGGCCAACATAAGGAATACTCCACCTAAAATGATAGAGACAGGAGTGCTGATCAGCTACCCATACTTTCTCCAACTCTCTTCCATTCTCCTGGCAACGGCTTCTCTGGCTCCCAGAAGGGCTGGAGACAGCTCATTTCCTGGCGCCCAGTGGTTTCCTGAACTAGCTAGGAGCCAGGTTTTGAAAACAAATTAGGCCCAGTGAGTCGTGAGAGGGGGCTATATTCCCATTTAGAGATCTGAATATTTCCTGAAGGCAAATAGTTGTGAGTACCATCCTTGATATTTTAGCTGAGGAGTTACCCTTGATTTATATAAGGACACTGTAATATTTCCCATGCCCTCCATAATGCAGCTTATCATGGAGTATCACTCTGAACAGACAGCATGGGCCCTGTTGTGCAGCTCTTACTCACATGAGTAGCTCCATTGATATTGGTGGGGCTAATTGCATGAGTGGGTCCTCAGCAATGAAGGGTTGCACAGTTGGGCCCTATTTAAAAATGACATCTTCTTACTCCGCAGATCCATTCCCTCTGTGCAACGAAGTCACATCTGCTTACTTTGATAACAATATATTTTTTTTACTGATTTTTGCTCAAAGCTGATACTTCTTACAGTGAGGGACCAGGGTACTGTCCTTTCTTGTACATCGTTAGCAGAAGTATTGTTTGCTTCTAATCAGTGATACCTGTGCCAACCTGCTGAAGGCTATGGCATTGCACAGATGTCATATAGGGCATAATTTGAAAACGAAATGGTTGCACAGGTATAACTGAGGGCCTAATTTGGCCTGCAGTATTTTTGTTGCTGGTGATGTTGGGGCTCAGGCTGCAGCCCAAGCTCTGGGACCCTCCCATCTCTCAGGATCCTAGAGAGTGGGCCTGAGCCTGAGCCTGAATGTCTACACTGCAGTTAAACAACCCCTTAGCCTGAGCCCCATGAGCCCAAGTCAGCTGGCGTGGGTCAGCCGCAGGTTTTGAATTGAAGTGTAGAGATACCCATTGATACCTAGATCATTTCCTTAAAAGCTACAACTAATTCAGACACCCATCAGCAAGTATAAGTAGTTTTCATTTTTTTCCCCGTGTGTATTACCTGGAAATTCTCTTCAATGAATTCCACCTGCCATTGTATTCCCCAGGTGTCTCACTCATTAGGTCCTTCTCATGATCCTCCTTAGTCTTGTCCAATATAAATAATTCACTACTGTCAGGCAGCAAATTTTGCCACCCAACTATGCCACCACCTTTTTCAGTTAATTCATGAACCACAATACTATTAACTTTATTCCAATCTGATAATTGGTCATGTATTCCTAGTTTTAGCTTTTTATCTCTTAACCAGTTTATAATCTAGGGCAGAATAGTAGATGCCAAAGTTTCCTTAATAACCTCTTGGGATGGCTCTTATCAAAACCCTTTGAAAGTATAAATAAACCACGTATGGGCCTGGGGTTTTCTCTGTATGGGCACATGGAATGTAGGGAACCTCTTGCCGTAAGCAGCCCCAGAGTTCTGAAATGAGTGCTTTCTGAGTACAAGTGAAGGGAGTCAGCATGCCTTCTGCTCCTGCATGCACTAAAAGGGGCTGAGGACATGGCACATCTCCCCCTGCTTTCCCTCTCACAGCTGTGTGTGATGGCTGCCATCTTGGCTGATGTACTGGGTGGGAATTGAACTGGTGCCCTCCAGAGCTAAAAGCACAAGCTGCAAATACTCTCCAGGTGTGGTTGTTCCCGGCACATATCCTCTGTGGACTGGGCACAGAAGGGGATATGAGGCACACACTGACCAGTGAGTTACACTAGCATTCACAAGCTGACACTGTGGGCAGCACATGCTGCTCCAGGGTGTAATACCTGCTGCTTCTGAGTACACTCCCATGAAAGGCTCTGGAGGCACTATGCCTGCTTCTTCTGCTTTCACTCAGGGACTGAACCTCTGCACTCTCCCATACCCCAGTACTCACGTGGCTGCCATGGCCATAACTTATCCCACAGTGTGTTTTTCTCTTTCTCTCTATTTTAGAAGCAATGGATGCAGGGAGCTATCCCACAAATACCTTACTTAGAGGGAAAGCCACTACAGACTACTGAAACCTGCCAAATTCCAGTGCATCCTACCCAGAATTCCTACTTCCAGAGGACATTACGCTGTTTGGAATGAGACCATAATGGCATCCCAGTCACAATGAGGTAGTTTATTTCTGGAGGCACTTCTTTTGGGCACCCTGCTTTAAGCAATAATTACTTTATAATAAAAATTAAACTGAAGGGTTGATATCTGGATGTGAGATCAGATCCAAATTAGGCTAGGATTTGGTTCAAAACCTTAACGGGATTAGGGTTTGGATTTGATGGCACTGAAATATCATGAGTTATTTTCACAAGGTTTTATCCCAGTATGATAGAAATTTAACCTGTTTTGAAGGTGCAGGTATTTGAGGAACACTTTTAATCGGATTGGTAGGTAGATATTTAGCTTACAATGTACCCACAAGTACTTTCAAGTAACATTTCTGAGTCAGGTCAGAAATGCTGATGAAGAAACATGCTATCAGCCCTGCAGACCAGTAAACATTCTAACAACATATTTACTAAGGCCATGATTCTTCAAAGCTCATAAGTACATGCTTAACTATAAGGACATACCTAATTTCCTTTGATCTTGACTTAAGCATATCATAGAATCATAGAATCATAGAATATCAGGGTTGGAAGAGACTTCAGGAGGTCATCTAGTCCAATCCCCTGCTCAAAGCAGGACCAACACCAATTAAATCATCCCAGCCAAGGCTTTGTCAAGCCAGGCCTTAAAAAACTCTAAGGATGGAGATTCCACCACTTCCCTAGATAACCCATTCCAGTGCTTCACCATCCTCCTAGTGAAATAGTGATTCCTAATATTCAACCTACACCTCCCCCACTGCAACTTGAGACCATTGCTTCTTGTTCTGTTTCAGTGTATTGGTGAATGGTTATGGATTTATGTATGAGTTTAAATGCTTTGCTGAATTGGCACAAAATGAATAGCACCAAACTCATTTCAACAGGCATTTTCCAGGTAGTATCCAGCTATGAACTTTGTGGATACCATTTAACATTTCTCCTTTTGGTGCCTTTGGGGTGGAAAAGGCATTTTAATACCCGCACATTTGCATGTCTAATAAACTGAACCTGAAACAAGATCTCTTCTATTTGCATTGCTCTTTTCTTGCCTCTTATGCACATTTCCCATAGAATTTCCCAAGTTCTTTGGTTCTGTAAATACGCAGAGTTATACACTAGTGATATCCAGAAGAACTGTGGTGGAGAGAGAGAGTATGGCCATAAAAATTACTAGATGCAAGAAACACTGCAGCACTATCTGGGTGTGTAACGCCTGGAGATTATTGCATACATGCTGCCTAGTCAGTAAATCAGCCAGCCTCCAGTTGTTCCCTTAGCCCATCAGACAAAAAGGTAACAGCTGTTTAATTTAGTTTTTATGATGGAAAAATTCATATTCTGAATCACTGATATCTTTATTTTTGCAATTTGCTGCTACTGACTTCCCCCCCTCTCCTTCACTGATCCAGCATAGTTTATTGTACAGAAAAGAAGGGTCAGGTGCCTTGGTTTGAATGGACTCTATTGTCTAATGTAATGTGTCAGGATAATGCCCAAATGGAAGTTCACTTAAACTCTCTTGATCTACAGTGTTGGGATAAGGTGGAACATTCCCTGGAATAGTGCAGGGAACTTGCTAACGTAAGCCTTAAGTGAAGGAAATACATGTGTGGAACTGAGGTTGTGCAAGCTCTAGAAACTCTGAAGGAAAGAGCTGCGGTTGGCTTGAGACTGTGCAACAGCCAGCTACAACTGAATGCTTTATTGCCGTCTGGAAGTGTTTATTTTCTGAACATAAATTCAAGGGACAGATTCAAGGCATGTCTAGAAATAAAGCATATCATCATGTGAGCTAAGCTGACAAGGACAATTTACTGTACCCTGCATTCGTTCTGGGCCAATCGGAAGAGAACAGGCTATTAACATTCTGAAATTCCCGCTGTTCAGTTCTTATTGTCCCTTCCCTGAACTTTGGAATGGCATGTATTAACCCCTTGAGGGCCTCAGATGGATAATATGCATCGAAAGAAGGAGCACTTGTTTAGGCACTGTGGACATATGCATTATGTCCAGATATTATTGACAGCAACAGGACTGCCTTAAAAGCCATGACACTCAGTGTACTGTCAAGGGGCCCAGCAGAGGGTTAAAATATTTCCTAAAGGCAGTTTCAGTGCTATACATGAGGGCTGACTTAGTTGTTTAAATACTGGAGTTCACTGGTCAGCTTGACCTTGAATTCTCTCGCAAAGACAGGAACAAGCTGACATATTGTTCATGTTTTCAGAGGCTTCAGAATTCATGGAATATGACACAAATGCAGTTCACATGCTGTGAGTATCTCTTTTAAAAGAATCATTTCCTATTTTCCTAATCATTCAAACAAGAAAAGCAACAAAATAGAAGAGGACTAGAATTTAAACACAAGATGCACAATGTCATAATTTGCAGAGAAAAGTGACCACTCTTAGTCATTATCATATTATGATAAAATCATCTGCCAAAACCCAGTGAACTGTTCATGTTACTGTAGCGTGTCAGCCTGACAATATATGCATGTGTAAATACAGGGAACAATATGATATTTGGGATTGTTTCGTTTTTTTATCTTGTTCTGTTTTACCCACGTTAAAGGTTTTTGTCTTTAAATCTATTTTTCGGTCAGCAATTCCTGAGCCTTTTGCTGCAGCCACACTGTGTGAGGAGCTCCTGTTGATGTCACAGGGAGTTCCATGTATGGAGCAACTACAGGATCAGATCTCTATGAGCATTACTGTTGAGGGGAAAATAATGTGCCAGGTCAGAATCTCAATGGCCCTTTATGCAGCTCCAGCAGTGCAAAAGGGCCACGTAGTTGGCTTAACTGCCCTCCAGATCCTTATCCTTTCCCCAGCTGCCTCTTGCACAGCAGGTGGTGTAGAGCCAGCACAGTGGCTCTTTGTTATTTCTTCTTCCTGGCCACCAGGCATAAGGGGTGACCAGGGAAAAGGGACACCGCTGTTTTCTTCTCCTTTGGGATGGGCTCGTGTGGACTGTGTTCAGAAGGGCACAGAGCCCTCCATGACTTGCTCACAGCCACACACTGATCAGTGTCCAAGCAAGGATTACACTTCAGGAGGTCTTTGCTCCTGAACTGTGGTCAGATCACTAGACCACACCTGTATCTTCAAGTTATTAGGCATCAATAGGACAAGCCACAGGTCCAACTAAAACATTAAGAAAAGATTATTGGTCAGATTTTCATTTGGATCTTAACCAGTCTTCCACTTTTGCACCCATAATATTATATATCTATCTAGCCATCCATCCATCCATCCATCCACCCATCCATCCAAGTCTCTATCTCTCTTTCATCATAAAACAACTCTTTTCCCAAACCTCCCTCTCCCATTAACCAGCTTGTCTTATTCTTCCCCTAGCTTAAATACTGCAGCCTCCAGTGCTAGACCAGAAAAATGAAGGAACCACAAAGAAACATTAATCTGAAATGACATATTGTATGCTTTTATATAAGTTTTCCAAAGAGACTTCTGAATGTCCTAGTGGGTGAGACATGAAGGAGTCAAAGTCATAGGTTTCATCTTTATTATGAGCCTTGAAACACTCAGCACAGAGACAAAGATGAGCGTATTTAACTTTTTTTGAAAATGACAATACTTTATTGTCTCTATGCTGTTCTTTCAAAGATCCCTTTGACAGCAGATTGGTTTGAGGACTGAAAGGATCATCTTAGCACTGAAATTGTTCTTAATTTCACATTACTATGGAAATACTTCTGCATGTTAAACTAAAATGCCTCTCCCTATCTCTTACTTTCAGACTATCCTAATTTCAAATTAGACTTCAGTGCAAAGGTCATGAGTGCACAACTGGTGGTCTTATTGGTTCAATTAGAGGAACTAACACAAAATTGCACAGGCTATTGCAAAAGTTCTTGTCAACAACTTCCTGAATATTGAGAGGTTGCTCAGATATGAGCAGTCTATGTAGCCAGATAATGTTGTTAATAGAAGCACATTAGCACAAGTATATATATATATATATATATATATATATATATATATATATATATACACACACACACTACTA